TGTATTAAATGCATTGTCCATCTTATTATTAAGGTAAAAGAGTGTTTTTATATATTCCAGACATAAGTCTTTTATGAAATACATGATTTGCCAAATTTTTTGCAAGCCAGTCTGTAGCTTGTTCTTTCATTTGGTTAATGATGTTTTTTGAGCCCTTGGGACCATTGATGGTGACAGTATCTGCTCACTCAGAATGTGTAGGGGTCTCATTTACCTACAGTTAGCTCGTTTGGCTACAATGGATGATTGAGAAACCAGTTTCAAATGGAAACTTCTCAACCTCTACAAAGCGCCAAGATCTGTATCTGGAGAAACTAGCTCTGGCCCAGCTTCTGGCTCACAGGATGGTCCAGGAGAGGGGCAGCATAGGGGGTAGCAAAATCCCTAAGGATTGTGATAGCAGGGAAGGAGAATTAACATCTTCCAATTCCCAAACATGGAATGTTTCTCCATTCGTTTACACCTTCTTTAATTTTTGTCACCAACATTTTATAGTTTTCAGCATACAAGTCTTACACTCCTTTTGTTAAATTTATTCCTAAGTATTTTATTCTTCTTGGTGTGACTGAGTGAAACTGTTTTCTAAATCTCATTTTCAGATTGCTCATTGTCAGTATATAAAATTGCAATTGATTTTTATAAATCGATCTTGTATCCTGTGACCTTGATGAACTCACTTATTATTTCCAGTAGTTTTTTTTTTTTTTTTTTCTGGAGGTCTCCATAGGACTCTAAACATACAAGTAAGACATTTTTTGGCATTGTATGTTTATGTAATAAAATTCATAGCAACCTGATTTTAAATTAAACAAATTTGCACTCAAACTTATTCCAATTATAGTGTTGCATATGCTTCAAGGGCAGAGTGAGAGAGGTGTCATTGGGCCATCCTGTGAATCATAGGTCATCTGCAGCCTGTCTTACCTCTTCTACATCCTTATGAGACAGCCTTTTAGTTGGGGATTTGGCCAAAATGTGCCTGTAACTATAGGATTGTGTCATTGTGTCATTGTGTCATTGAGAACCACTGGAAAATTGCTTGACCTAAGATACGTCCTTAAGGAAGATTCTAGGGAGTCAGAAATGGTCCTCAGGAGCAGGAGCAGCATGGAAAGAAACAAACCAGAAGGCAATGTATTTTGATGCACCCATACGAAAAGTATAAAAATGTAAGAAGAGGCATCTTCCCCACTTCACAGAGGGCATAGATAATGGTGCAAAATTGGCATTTTGAGTCTTTCACAGAGGATAACATTCAAAGAACTAGATGAAGTTAGTGAAAGAAGAGGTGTGGCAATGACTAACTTATTGCCATAAAAGTCACAAAATCCTAATACTGTAATATAATTGAATCCCAACGCACTGATTTAGCGTGTGTAAAGCACTTAGCAGAGTTTGGTTAGTAATATATGTTAAATAAATAAATGGTAGCTATTTATAATATTACTATTACTTCTGCAATTAAGATGAGAGGCCTTCTGTGACTGTGTATAGTCAGTATTTATTTACTTAAGAGCAGTTCCCTGCTCAATTTGGTGGTCATTTCAAAGACCATTGCTATGGGTCTCTGGAAGTAGATAAGGCAATTCAGGATAGAGGTAGGCTTCAGAGGAAAACTTTAAGAAAGATGACAAACACCAAAACCCATGGAACCACCCATGGAAATCAAAATTACACACTGCTTTTCCCATGGCCATTGTGGCATTATTCACAGTAGCCACGACAGGGAAACAACTAAGTGTCCATCGTGTATATGGAGATATATATGTGTATATGCACGCACACGCGCGCGTGCGCGCGCACACACACACACACACACACTGGAATATTATTCAGCCATGAGAAAGAAGGAAATTCTGCTATTTGTGACAATAGGGATGAACTTTGAGAGCACTATGCTAAGTGAAATAAGCCAGAGAAAGATAAGCACTGAATGGTATCACCTACATAGGGAATCTAAAAAAGCTAAGCTCATAGAAAGAGAGAGTGGAGTGGTAATTATCAGGGGCTGGGGGCTAGGGGGAAATTGAGGAAATGTTTTTCAAAGGGTACAAACTTCCAGTTATAAGATAAATAAGTTCTGGAGATCTAATGTACAGCATGGTGACTATAGCTAATAATCCTATATTATATACTTGAAAGTTACTATGAGAGCAGATATTAAATGTTCTTACCACACACACAAAAATGGTAATTATGTGATGTGATGGAGGTGTTAGCTAACAGTATCGTGGTAATCATTTTGCAGTTTATAAGTGTACCAAATCAACACATTGTACGTTAAACTTACATAATGTTATACATCAATTAAAGCCCAATAAAGCTGGGAGAAAAAGACAACAAAGTGCTTGTAGAGAGACTAGTGAATAAATGCGTGCATCTGTACATCTGAATGTTTATATTCAGAAAATCTATTTCAAGCTTATTCGTAATCATATTTAATTGCATCTTTAATTTCTAAATTGCTAGATTAAGAAATGAGCTCCCTTCTCATTGATAACTGCAATTGCCTGACAAAAAGGAGGCTGTGTGGCCAGGGACTGCAGCCTGAAGGGGCAGTTTCAGACAAGAGACGTCTCCTCCCCTCCCCTACCTTCCCTCTCCTTGCCTCCTCTCCTCACCCCTGCTCTAGCTAAGGGCACAGCCCTCTAACCCTGGAGGTTACAGTATCACTGATTTGGGAAGAGAGGTTCTTTTGGCTACATCTAGTTCATCTGGCTACAACATACAACCCAGAAACCGAGTTCAACTTGGTTGGAAGACTTTCAGACCCTACAAAGCACAGGAATCCACATCTGGAGAAACCACCTGTGTCTTGCCCAGTCTCTGTGCTCCAAGTAACTGAAAGCCAAAGCCGGTCTGACAGGATGGCCCAGGGCAGGAGCCCCCAGAAGTGGCCTGAATGCAGTAAGGTAGCAAGAATGCTACCTGGGTGGCCAGCCCTTCAAGAGAAATTGACATTGCTGGGGCTTCCTGGTCACAAGGCATTCTCTGCCTATCTCAGCCTCTCTGCTCCTAAGCAGACAGATAATCCTACAGCCAGGTGAGAGAGGCCCGGGTTGCTAAAAGAAGCAGGGAGCCGCCACATTGATTTCATCTGTGTGATGCCTGGCACATAGGGGCTGCTGCCTCAGGAAATGCTGCACTAAGTGGAATGAACATTCTAGACTCAACTTTGCCACGTGCCAAGTGAAGCCATTTCCCCTCTTTCTTCATTTCTGCTTCTGTGTTTTAAAAATGTATGATAATTGCTACCTACAAGGTTGCATCTAGGATAAAAAAGGAACATACTCTAGAATGTTCTTTGTGAGGTCCAAACACCACATGAATAGGAACCAAAACTTGACAAGCTGCCTCCATGGTGCTATGTCTCAACTTGGCTCAGATATTAATATTTAAGTGCCTAGAAGTATGGCCCGTTTTCTTACTGACATTCTTCTAACAAAGATAATTTAAGTTAGAAGATTAGACATATTATTTTAATAGAATTCTATAACAGTATTTTCATTTGATTGAAGTGGATATGGTCACAAACTTTTTTTTTTTTTTTTTGGTCCCTGAATGGGTCCCTGTACAAAACTACATTGTTGATCATGGCTCTAATTGGTTCCCTTGTTTCAGCTTGACAGTCTCTCAGATTCATTCTTCACACTGCCAGCCTGCTGTGGCTCAAAGACAAATCTGAGGTTGACTCCTCTTTTTCCCTAAAGACCCGTATCCAATCACTCAAGTCTTATGGATTTTGCTTCCTTAATATCTCTCAAATCCAGCCATTTCTCTCCATCCCACCTGACATGCCTCCATTTTAAGTCACTATCATTTCTCACTGAAACTAATGAACTAGCAGCCCACAGCGTCACTCCTAGGGGCCCCCCTGTGTTGCTCTTTTGTCTCGATCCCTGTCCCCTAACTGCAGCCAGAATTATCTTCCTGAAGTGCAAATGCTACCAGTAACTCCCTGCTGGGACCTGTGATTGTCAGGGTCATCAGGATAAACCCCGCCCCCCCTCCCCCGCTACTGGACCAGGTGTCCCTGCTCTTTCAGGTCTAGGTTCAAGCCCTTGCTCAGCTCCTTTGCCGGACCTTGCACCATTCATACTGCACTTTCCCCTCTGGCCATTCCTAGCTATGTAAGGCCCCCTGTGCCAAGTTCTCAGGAGGGCGCCTTCTCTGTTAAGGCTCCCATGCCCACTGCCTTCACACGCCCTGTCTCTTCATTGTGGTCACCTCCTCTGGGGATCCTTCTCAGGACGCCTAGGACTGGACTAGGTGCTCTTGCCCTGCATCTTCACAGCACTTACCACCTTTCTTACTTACTTATTTGCACTTTTACTTATCTGTTTGCTGCTAAGGCTCATCAACCAAACTATCAGCTCCCTGAGAGCATGAACAGATCTTTGTTCCTGGTATATCCCAGTATGTGGTATTCTTGCACAGATTTCTTCCCATCTCCTAGCTCCAGGGAATACTGATAACTGATGGCTCAAAGCCGAGTCCTTCGATGGGCATTGCCCCAGGCTGCAAAAACCTGCCTTCCCTGCAGCCACAGCCCCCTCTCAGGGACACTGGGCTACCAATGACCGGGTGACACTGGCATACAAATGCCTGGCCTCCTTTCTACTTGAGACAACTCTAAAGGGTTAGCGCCAACACTCCCGGTAAGACTGGGCTGGGCCTCAGCTGCAACCCCATGGAGCACCTGCTTTTCTCCTAGCCCCGTCCTGCTATCCTCACTTTTGGTCAGGTGTTTCTCCCCAAAATATTCCCCAGTAAACCATCTGCACAAAATTCACAATTCTCAGTCTATTGCCAGGGAACCCAGTCAAAAACAGTCCTCCTCCCCAAAACAGTTCCTGGCACATAGTAGGTGCCCAAAATGTATCTGACATATGAACAACCAATGAACAAGGGCCTTTTTAAAGCCAACTCTCAGAGCAGAAAATTTATATCACTCGTTTCCATTTCCAGGCCCAGCACAGGAGTGACTACTTAATTCTTACTTGCTTGAATGGTCCTTCCAATGTTCTCTCTTATGGCCAAGGGAGCAGTCTTCTGGAGGTATATGGCTCCTTTCTTTAGCCATCAGGTCCAAAGTGATAAAAGCTAGAAGCATCAAAGGAATGCAACATTACTCTGCATGATAATGAAATTTACTGCCTTCAAAGAAAGAAAAAATTATGTGGCAAATTACAAAGCAGTTAAAAAACACTGTTTTTCATTAGGGTTTAGAGGGATGGTGTTCTCCCTGAGAATTAAAATAACTCTATGGAGAGCTATGTGCTTTTGTAATAAATCTAAAGAATCTAATAAATCCCCTAACAGACCTGCTGTGGAGGATATATGCCCTGAATGATGCTGTGAGACTTGAAGCACCATGACCTCCTCCTCCTGAACCACTCTGCAGCTCTTTGGGTTATCAGAATAAAACACTGACTGTCCAAATAAAACCTCTAGGAATCTACACTGAACTCAATGGCTTGGACTTGGGGAGATGTCTTAGCGAGGAAAATCACAATGGGTCCTGGAAGGACCCAATGGGTAAAGGTTAGAATTTTCCAGAACATGAATAGAGTTACAATGGGGAAATCCAGAAGATAAGGCTCCCTAGGATATAAGGGCAAAGCTAGGGATAGGGACGTTAGATTAGAAACTGTAGAGGTATTTAAAGAGGACACATCTGAGAAAGGGTTGACTTCTCAGTCACCACACATACACATTTGGACCCTGGGGAAGTTATATTTAGTACTTGGCTCTAATTTTTTTTCTTTTTAAACAGACTATTTTTTTTTTTAGAGCAGTTTTAGGTTCACAGCAAAATTGGTCAGAGGGTACAGAGAATCCTCACATACCCCCTGCCCCCACACACGCATAGCCTCCTCTATTACCAACATCTTCCACCAGAGTGTATATTTGTTATGATTGATTAACCTACCTTGATACATTCTCACCCAAACTCCATACTTTACATTCGGGTTTATTCTTGGTGTTTTATATTCTATGGGTTTGAACAAGTGTATAGTAACATTTACCTACTATTACAGTATCATGAAGAGTAGTTTCTATCCCCTAAAAACATCTGTGGGTCAGTTCCCTTTAAAATGGCCCAGTCCTGGGGCACCTGGATGGCTCAGTTGGTTAAGTGTGCATTCTTGATTTTGGCTCAGGTCATGATCTCACAGTTTGTGAGACTGAGCCCCGGGTAAGGCTCTACACTGAGTGTAGAACCTGCTTGGGATTCTCTCTCATTCTCTCTCTCTCTCAAAATAAATAAATAAACTTAAAAAATTACCTGGGCCTTCAGCAAAGAAAGTTATGTATATGTATACATGTATCCACATAGCTTGACACTCTAAAGTGATTCTGGGGAGGCTGAGGGTTGAGATCTACAGCAACATTCTATTGAGGGATGGCCTTCAGGACTTCTATGTGGTCGGGTGCAGTATCATGAGTGGGGCTCATCACCAAACAATAAGTGTCAGGGAAGAGGCCCAGTGGTAAGAAACAGCTATCAAATGGATAATTCAAGAAAGTTTCATGATGTGAAGGCTGTTTTTGTCCACCACAAACCCAAGACAGTAAACTTCTCGGGTTACATTCTCTCTCCCCCGGGGAGATTCATACTGCACCTCAACACATCAAAGTCTGCAGGAATTTCTATTAGTGAAGAAAACTGCCTAACTTCTTTTAACACCACATTCTCCAAAAACTCTCTCTCAATATCTACTAGTATTCATGGTATTCCATGTGAGGACTGCTACACAGCCAACTGAAGAGGTTTATTTTTTTTTTAATTTTTTTAATGTTTATTGATTTGTGAGAGAGAGAGAGAGAGAGAGAGAGAGAGAGAGAGAGAGAGAGACCGAGCATGAACAGGGGAGGGGAATAGAGAGAGGAAGACACAGATCCGAAGCAGGCCCCAGGCTCTGAGCTGTCAGCACAGAGCCGGACATGGGGCTTGAACTCACGAACCATGAGATCATGACCTGAGCCGAAGTCAGATACTCAACTGACTGAGCCAGCCAGGCGCCCCTGAAGGGCTTTATTTTAACAGTAGTGTGGTATAAGCAGAGAGGATATTCTTGGAGAGTTATGCGATCATAAAAATGCCTGGAGATGTTGGCCCTATAAAGACGGTGCTACAATGTTTCCATCTCAGTCTTACCAGGTGTAGAATGAGGACAGTGGCTAAGGGACAGAAAAAGGAGAGCCAACAGTGTCATTGTTGAGGGCAAATTGAGGAGACCTGGTCACTCATTTCTATTTGGATGGGGATCCAAGAAGAAGGAAGAATCTTATAATCATAAAACTTTAGGACAGGAGGGGCGCCTGGCTGGCTCAGTCGATTGAATGTCTGATTTCGGCTCAGGTCATGATCTCACAGTTGGTGGGTTCAAGCTCCATGTCAGGCTCTGTGCTGACACCTCTGAGCCTGGAGCTTGCTTCAGATTCTATGTCTCCCTCTCTCTGCCCCTCCCCTGCTCATGCGCTCTCTCTCAAAAATAAACATACAAATAAAAAAATTAAAAAAAAAAAAACCTTTAGGGCAGGAAATGAGCTTTACGATCATCTACTTTGGTCTTCAAACTTGTATTCAGCCTTTGAACCTCCAAACAACCAAGTTTCCAGGGGAAACCTAAAATGCAGACCAGATGAAAGCAGAGGTGTGGGCATGCTTTACCAAATAACAGAGAAAGGAAGAGTGTGGGGGAGGAATTCTGGTGCTTCCCGTTGTGAAATTTTGGCTGGGAATTTTTAGAACATTTTAGATCTGAGAGAAGTGCCTCAACACACAGACCTCAGAATTCAAGTAGCATTTTCTCCCGCTCTCAAAATATTCCTGGATAACAAGTTTCAGAGGCAGGAATATTTCACACAAATAATTTTAGAGGCCCTGCTTTATGACAAGACCCGTACTTTGGTAGTTAAAAGCTGCATCCTGGAGCTGACAGAGACTAGTTCTGGGCTCTATCACACTCCTCCATATGTTAACATCCAACAAATTGCTCAACTTGTCTGTGCACACTTAAGTTTTCCCACCAATAAAACTGAGATAATAATAGTGTCCATTTTCTAGGGATATTGTGAAAATGGAATGAACTTTTCCGACAGAAATGCTTAGCACAACACCAGACACAAAGCAAACAAATTTAGCTCGTTATTTAATTAACATTAGCTCCTTATTTAAGACGGCTGCTGCACACCAAGTACCATGCTAGGTACTGGAGAGATGGAATGGAACCAGGTACTTTTAAAGCCTTCAAATACTAAGTGCGTTCATTTATCCAAAACTTATTTTTTCCAAGAATTTTACTTATGTTATCTCTTGTGGTGACTTAAAATATGACCACAAATTCTTAGACACTCCCTTCAAAAAAATAGAGCCTGATTCTCCTCCCCTTGAGTGAAGGTTGGACCAAGTGGCTTGCTTCTAGCACGTAGAATAGGCAAGAGTGACGATCTGTGACTCCCAAGACAGGTCACAAAAGGCATGTGGCCTCTCCTGCCTTTCTTGGATAACTCTCTCTGTGGGGAAGCCAGCTGTCATTTTGTGAGGAAAAAGCCAGCAGTCTTGTGAAGATGTCTACGTTGCAGGCACGGAGGCCTCCTGAGAAGAGCCAGCACTAACTTGTCAATTGTGTGAGAGAGACACTATGGAAACAAGTCCTCTACCCCCCAGTCAAGCCTTTGGAAGACGGCAGCCCTGGCCACCATCTTGACTGCAACCTCATGAGAGACACTGTGCTGGAAATCACCCAGATGAGTTTCTCAGATTCCTGGAACCACAGAAATTCTGTGAGAGGAAAAATTATTTTAAGCAACTAAATTTTGGGGGTTAATTTGTTAGATAGCTGATCCTCAAAAAGCCCCTGACACAGATAAATTGTGGTCCATTTTATAGATGAGCAAATCAAGGGCAGAGACGTGACTTTGTTTCAATTCACCCAGCTGGTATGTGGTGAGAGGCAGACTTCAAACTCACATCTATAGTTTCCTGGGTACTTCTACTCTATCGCTGTGCCTCCATGGGCAAAGTCAACAATACATACAGCACGTATAAGGCAACACCATAAGGAGCCAGGCTTCAGAGAAGCTTCATGGTTGGGTTTGTTTTTTTCCTGAGACCAGCCCAGGGGATCGGAACGAAGGACCCACCCCCACCTCCCACACACATCAATCCAAGAGTCCATACAACCCACGAAGAGTTGTATGAGGAAGGCAGAGATCACCTTAGCAAATATACACTGCATCAGTTAAGACACCTGACATATTACACCATTAACATTTAAAACCATGGGGAAAAAATTAGCTGATAATATCCCTTGCATTCATAACATTTACATTTCCAGCTTTTAGTTTTCCTGAACAAAATCAGACCTCACGGAGATAACTTTCACAAGCCACATATTTTCTCTAACAGTTACCACGGGCTGGAAAAAGCAAGGAGAAGGCAAATAATGGGGACGCTCTATGCTAATGCTCGCCTTATCTCACAAGGCACATCTTGGGTGCACTACATCCTTTCTCTCCCAGGTGTAATCTAAATCATCTCCCATGTCTCATTTTTCTTTAACTTCTTTGAGTTTGGCAGACATTAGGATTGAGCCCTAGATCATGCCTTCAGGTTTATGAGGACAGTAATCTGTCATCGGTAGCTGCAGTGCCTTTTATCGGGCCCTGGCTGCACAAATTCCCCTAACTATGACTTTCTGACAACTGATGGACTTTTCTCATCTCTAACCACGAAGGCTCAACTTGATTCTTTTCTTTTGAGACAACACAATATGCTATTTTTTCTGCCCCTGGGAAAATAAGAAAGCATAGAGCTCGCTTCCTAAAAAGAAAAGGCTGTAGAAGTTTTATCCATATTACTTGCTACCCTTCAAGGAAAGAGGCGTCAGGGTTGGGGTGGGGGCACTCCTTTGAGCCCACACCCCATATCAGTGTATCCAACTCCATGTTTTGACTTTTGAGGTCTGCCTCTCACCACATACCAGCTGGGTGAATTAAGCAAAGTCACGTCTCTGCCCTTGATTTGCTCATCTATAAAATGGAGAACAATTTATCTGTGTCAGGGGCTTTTTGAGGATCAGTTATCTATCTAA